ATGGATACTGGAGAAAGCTATTCAAGTGTCTGGCATTAAGTGATGGCTTCCATGGTGTCTTTTGTTAGTGGAGCACCACATGAGTTGACTCTAGTGCTTGGTGATTAAAAACACTGAGTGTAAAAAAGTGTGGCTGTCTTTGTCATATCTTTTCCCATTCCAATGAAAAGGAAAATGCTGTCAGGTATGTCAGTGGGTAGGAATGCACTGCACATCTCATGATCATCAAAAATCTGACCGTGATTTCATTAATTCTTATTTTTACTTGCCTACCTTGGTGAATCAGAAAGGTTATATTTGTAAAACTCCAATGGATTGTTTTGAAAGATACTGATACATGATATTTCCCTGCCAATGGGAGTACCAAATTAGAAAAAAGGTCAGGCTGTTTTCTATGGAATGACAAATAGCAAATTTAGTCTGAAGGTTTCCAATGAGCTACCATTACAGTAGCTGCAGTACGACAGGAGAGACTAAGGCACATTCCAGGAACAGGAACATCATTTTTGGGGAAATATCAAAGTCATGTCAAGAGAGGCCTTGTAGGGAAGCAGGAAGGAAGCACCTTATTTTATGCTGTTCAAAATCATTCTGCAAACCTCAAACATCTGTGAAGCTGAAGTGAAACCAGTTGGCCCTGAGCTCAGCAAGCAATTGAAGCGATCAAAGCGATGAATTGTCTTTTTAATGTTACACGCATCAGGCAAGTCAAACCTCGGTCTGAACCTGTGTTGATGGAAATGTACCCGATGGAAGCTGACATCTCCTCCATTCTACTCTGCCACATATGGAGGAGATTGTCTCTCATGCAGTCAGAGGTAATGGGGAAGAAAGGAAGACTAAATCCATGCTGACTTTGTGGAGCAGGCTGCGCTAATCTAATTTACCAATAAGTCTGATTCAACAGGGTGCCATGAAAGGAAGCCCACATCTCTTTGGCTGAGTGGCTCTCAGAAGATCGAAGGAGAGGAAGAAAGACAGATGAAGATGAGGTCACCTTGAGAAAAACTTGCAGATAAAGTACTTCCCTACTAGAGTGATAGAGTGGAATAGGCAAAAGATCAATGAATATGTGAGGGATGTTGAAAGCATTAGCAATACTGTATAGGATGTGACTTCTGTAAGGATGTATTCACTTCATAACCTACATACTGAACAGAAAAGTTGAATTAGGTTATTTTTTTCTTGATACTTGATCTGGTTTCCAACAATAAATAACCATACAGCTGTTCAGTATCTTCCCAAGTGACAAATGTGTACTCAGGTGGGCTCTATTCTACCAATGGAGGCACTTTAGCGACCCATGAAGATAGGACATAGGATGTGTCCACAATGATATAAAAATACAATAAACAAAAAAAATTATAGGAGAGAAGAGGGAAGCCATCAGTGAACAAGTGTTATTGTGTTTGCTTATGCCAAAGCTGATTTGCATCATTTTATGATGTATGTTTGGTGTTAATTAGTTATTTCATGCTATAAAATCAGTTGGTCAAGCACTTGTGATGGGGCAACATTAAAGAAAATCCACAATCGCCTCTAAAAAGACACCAGTGCAATGCAGCACTACTTTATCACATATTTTGTCTTCCCTTGTAGAGTGGCAGAAAGTGGAGACGTGTCATCCATCTTTATTTACAGTCTTTGGCTGCGACTAGCAACAGACTGAAGGATTTTAGATTCAGAGTAGAATGTCAGGATGTCAGCACTGAAAAAATCTCTCTCTCTCTCTCTTTCTCTGAGTTGCCATATATGTAAAGATTTGAATGTAGTGTAGTTACGTTCTTGATTATTGAAATCATTTATGTTTTTTCCTCAACATACCTTAGCACAATTATGAGAATCATTTACCGTTATATTTACCCTTCAGATTATTTTCCCTCACTTAAAACATCCTACTGTTTTAATACGAATACTCTGTTCTTTTACTTTTAAGACTTAAAGTTTTATGCATTTTGTTAGTCATCCTTTCCACACAACAATAAAACATAATCATTGTTGTCTAAGTTCAGTCACAAAACCCTTCCACATCACAGACAGTCTCCCCTGCATGGCTTCTAGCAGCACCGGCAGCTGAGGAGTGAGTCACAGCGAACACCAGTGGAGGTTGTACCAGCGTCTGGTTAAAAAGTGTCACATGTAGCACAGCTGCTGAGAGAGTTTGAGGAGCAAACACAAACAAGTTACACCGCTCTGCGTCACTCTGAGCTCTCCATCACCCCTCCTCACTTTCATAAAGTTTTGATCATTCTGAATCTTTGGTTGTAGAAGTTCACCACACTGTTATACCACATTATTCTGTTCAATGACACACCTTTAAAAGAACATCAGCCAACAACAGCTTGACTGTGACTATGTTTATTTGAGCCTCTTGGGGAAATGCCAAAAGTATTGAAAGATAATGTAAAATAAAAAAATTCATGTATTAGTTCTTCAGATCCATCTTAGGTCCAAAACATCCATATAAAAGAGAGTAAAGAAGGGGAGGATTAAGAATCAGTGCCACTGTGGTAGTATGGCACACTGCAGCCTGTGAATGTGACCCTTGATGATAAGCATAATATGGAAACTGATGAACAAGCCCCATCTCTCTTTTACTCCCCAGAGCCCTCATTAGCAGCGACTGTGTTATGGTTCAGGAATCTACCCACACTAGCCATATCCCCTCCCCCATAACATTTCTACCATTGACTTCTCAGGCCATTGTCTACTGGTTTTGTTTTGTTGTTTTGTGGTTGTTCCTTCACTGCAAATAAATAATTAGCAAGTTACAAATAGCCTTCTTTTTTACCGTCCTTTCATTACTGATGTGAATATTGCTCCACGATACTCTCTTGTCACAACCACCTAAATCTTACATCATACCACTGAAAGAAAGATTAGAAAAATATATCTCTCAAGACATTCTGCTCCCCGCAGTTTTCCATAACAAATGTTTGCTTTTCCACAGGCTCTCTCGGGTAATATGTGTGAGTGACATTCAGCTTCCCTTTGATTTAGGCGGCCTACACTTAATTTGTCAAGAATGAACAGAAATGAAACAGGAAAATCTTTCCCACAGCCCCAGTTGCTTTCTGTTCCCACCTTCCCAGAAGACACAGAACATGTATTAAGGTCTTTTTCAGCAACATGCATTATTTTTTCTTCCACTGCTCTGAGCAGAACCTCTGAAAGTTTGAGCTCCACTTCAGTACTAAAGTCCAACAGATTCAACTTTTAATTGGACCCAGTGGCACATGATGCACAATGCAGAGCAGATAGAGCTCACTGTGTTTTGTTTACCGTCCCAACAACTTTTTACAGTCATGAAAAAGAAGTCACACAAAGTACATGATGTATATAGTTTAGAACACTTTATATATATGTTTTCCTTTGTTTCTGATATATGATGTGTTAAGTCAGGTGTAATGTACAATGAACTACTTTTATCCAGAAAAAAGCTTGATTTCATTGTTTCCCTTGTTGAAAAAAATGACAACGTAAAAGACTGTCTAACTCTGGAACACTCTATGTATCACATGTCTTGAAAAGACAAATAAAAGAAACTGCTTTTGTTCCACAGAGCAAAAGATCAACATACATGAGGATATATGCTAAAAGTGTAACACACTGTATTGTGGACAAAAAATGTAAATGTGTTTGTTACGTGCTGCTGCCATGTTTTTTGTTCCTCTCTGCTGTTTCACTGGTATGGTGAAGGTGAGGAAAAAAGGGAGGTGCAGTCCTTAAGTGACTTTGAGTGTGCGTGTGTTTGTTTGTCCATGAAGAGGAGAAGTTATTGACGATAAACGATAATTAGTACTAAAAACCTAAATGATGTCGCTGAGGAAAACAGGTGATTAAAATGTTTTCTTTGACTAAGAGGAAACTAAAACTTTCCCAGTGAGATTCACTAAAGTTGACTGAAACCAACACATCCTTCATCTCGGGACAAAAACGGATTCTTAAAATAGCTGAGAAAATTAACAAACGTGCCAACACTGCTTTCCTGGTGCCTCGCATTCTCTTCCAGGAACCCAGATTAAAGCAGCTACACACAGAGGAACACAATGAAATTGCTTAGAAAAGCAGAAACAACAGAGCGATGTCTCCCCACAACTGCAGCAATTACAATGATGGGCAATGAGCCAAGGCTACAGAGCCCACAGTGTGATGGTTCAAAGGGAGGCCGAACAACTTTGCAGCATTCAGAGCTCAGTAAACTCACGCACCACACTGAACACAACCTCCCAGCGTAACAGATTCCGTCCAGTTCTCGTGGCCTTTGTAAATACTGTTATTTTGTTCATGTGTTCAGTTACCTGCAGCATCTATTCACTTCTGTCCGTCCTGGGAGAGGGATCCCTCACATGTGGCTCTCCCTTCTATGTTTTTATCCCATTTTTTTTGGTAGTTTTCCCTTACTCTTGTTGAGGGTTAAGGACAGAGGAGGTCCCACCTTGTTAAGCCGTATATGACAAATTCCGATTTGTGAATCGGGTTTCACAATTTGATTGATTGATGGCTTGTTGGCAGAGTAAACCGCTGAATGAGACTGTCAGAGGTACAGAGGATTTCATTACTTGCAGCACCAGCTTGTTCCGCCCTTACCAACTTTCAGCTGTTGCACTTACTGTAGCCACACCGCCTGCATAGCCAGGATAGCTAAGTCAGCAGTGTGTAATAAATAGCCCAAGAGGGATCTACCCATTGTAGCCTCTGAAGAATGCAACCCCTGAATTGCATCATTTAGTGTTCTTCCATACTGACTTTCAGTATTTTGAGTTGCAAAAGATCTATGGCAGCTAAACAGCTATAGTGAGGGCAAAATGCAATGCACTGTGGGACCTGGATCGTGCACTCATAACATTCAAAATGTGTGTGTGAAACTTTGGGAACCCGAGTGCAAAGACACAACAGTGCTATGAATTAGTAGTGGAGATCCATCAAAAAGATGGTGGCTGATTAGGTGCAAGCTACTCCCAGACCTGAATAGGTGTTTTGTGTCATGTATCATTTGTCTACTCACCATCACTGTCGATACACTGCACTTGAGGGATCTGGGTTCCTGGTCCACACTCCTTCTCATTATCAGGGATACACTCCTCCAGTTTAATCACCAGCCAGTCGTAGCAGCTGGGGTCTTCACACGGTATTGCCTCCACCAGGTGGGGGCAGTTCCCCATCCCGACCATTAGCTCATTGAGAATCTTCCTCTTCCTCAGTTTGAAGCCTGTCGGAGAACAAAAGGAACCTAATGAAGTAAATGAACACAAACGTACCCACGCTAATCAACCACAACACCCCCTGTGTGATCTGCTGAGCGAAAACCTGATGCAATCTGAATGTGTCTAACATGAAACAGTAAGTAGATTAACTGCACTCCATGGTCACAGTGAGCCTTGATGATGGCAATTGTGATATTGTATTTGACGCGACAGTTCATTAAGTCTAAAGTTGACAGAAATTCGAAGAACTTCACATGATGACTTTTTTCTTCTACTCTCAGCTTTTATCTAAATTAAAATTAAAGTAATGCATGCAGGAATCCATTAATTCAGCTGGGGTTTGTTCTCGTGTGTGTCATTTCCTCTGCTCAAGGGCATCGGATTCCATGACCCAGGTCCTGAGATGGGGGGAGGGTTTTAACTTTAGCCAAGCCAAGGTCACTCGCACCATAATCCACACTCCTGTTCCAGCCCGATAAGGCAGAGGAGCCCTGGTGTGCCTGCAGGACTCAGGTGGAGGCGGCAGAATCTCCCCTTTTCTATTTCTTTTTGTGCTCTTTCTCCATTCAAAAACCTTTATTTAATCAGGCAGCTCTGCAGAACATGTACCCTGATGTGTCTAGACCCATTGATAGAGGTTTCATCTAAGATGGGGGAGGGTTTGTATGAAGGAAGATGAGTCTTGGGGTGCAGGGAATTCAATTCTATCAGGCATCACTCACTTGCTATCAGCAGGGTGTATTATGAATGGCATTGGTTCAAGATAACAGTGTAGCCCATGCAGCTGCTGTCAAAGCTAGATGCTTCATTTTGACTCAATACACATACATGTGATTCTTTATTACATGACATCAGCGCGTGATAGTAAGGATGTTCAATGATTCTCAAGGGGATGTGATAGTGAGGGTTAAGTTAAAGGTAGAGGTGAAAACCTAAACTCACAATTTGAAAGGGTAAATCTCTAGTTACAGATTTTATCTTAAATAATTAACTGCGTCCAAATACTGTAAATGTTTTTCCATTTCACCGCCCTGATATCCTTTCAAGTACGACTAATGAACACATCAAACAGTGCAGAGGATAAACTAGTGCAACCTAAGACATTTCCTTTAATTCAGCATCAATGTGCAATGTTCATAACTACCAAACATTGTACATCCATGTGCATTTAGGCCACTCCTAGGATTACAGTGGCTTGATAAAGTATTCATCATATTCCACCACACCCGTCCATCAATGTCTGAATGGATGGCTACTTGGAAAAAGCATCTCAAGATGCAGTCTTGAGATTCTGATAAACTGTTTTAGATAATCTCATCTGTTTAGTTGTGCCTGCTTGATTTTTAAGTTGATTATAATCAGGTCAAAGTCTTGCAGACCTCAACAAGTCTCAAGTTGTTAATGACCTCATAGTTTAACATAGTACCTCATGTTTTTTACGCATTACTTTTGCTGCATTTGGACCTGATGTCCATACTACAAAGATCATGATTAGTTTAAATTAATTCAAGGATAATGTGAGTGTGAGAAAGTTGAAATATTTCTTGGAGTAGTGAGCCCTGCATTAGAGCAAGCAGATGTGCCAGTGGTCAGAGGAGACACTACCCCATGCCCACCGTCAAAATGCTGGCCTGGTTAGAATAATCTGGTCTACAGTAATGGAATCCACTGAGACAGAGGCTGTGGCAAGCCAACAGCTGTTCCACTTTTTAATCATGTAAATTGTTTGGGTCCACACTGGTGCAGACTATAATCATCTGTTTAGAACATGTTCTCATTTTACGGCTAAAGGCTAGAGTCTCGATCTCGGAGCCATCCAAAAGCACCACCTGCAATCAGGCATAAGCAATATAGTTATATTGCAATCTGTGTTGTCACTCGTTGTGATTGGTTGATCTTACCTCAGGTGTAAACCGATGTTTGATCATTCTGTTAATCTTTAGTAATATGATTTAAATGAGGTGTGATTTATATGTTTTTCAATGTAATAAATGTATGTATGTAATGTATAAAAACCTGTTATTAATGAGTAGACTAGAGTAAAGGATACCACCAGTAGTCTTAAGCACAGCTTGACAATGGCAACCCACAGAGGAAGAGAGGAAAGACTCAATAAAGGGAGAAGAAAACAATATAATGAATTCAACTCTTGAATATGGGCTGCAGAAATCTTACATATAGCACCTTTAATCACATCCCACTGTTTTAAGTTACACAGCACAGATTTCGGTGACCTTTTCTGGATAACTCTGCACTAGGTTTCCAAGAGGCCTTATGAAACATTTATGATACGTCCACATCTAGCCAAGTTCTGTCAAAATGCAAATACAATGTGTTCTTACTCTGCTCATTTTCAAATGTGCTTTAGCTTACTTGTGATGATATAGGGGAGACAAGATCCCCAGTGATGGATGGATTACTAAATAGGCCAACAGGGCACAGGTCAGAGCCTCTACATGAAATGACTATTAATATGTCTTGGAAAGTCAAGTCCTAATACCACAAAGACATTCACAACTTCTACAGAGAGATACAATATGACCTCAAAGAGAGAAAATCAGCATAAAGAGATGGGATAAGACCTCAAAGTAGCATTAAGGTGACTCCATAAACGTACAATAAGACCACAAAGACATGCAAACAACTACAAAGAGTCATAAAATAGTGAAACGGCAGAACATGGCAAAGTGGCATAAAGACATGGAGAGAAGAACAGGAAGAGAAAAAAAGTGATGTGTCATTTAATACATTTGTATCCTGTATATCTGGCCCTTTCCTTAACAGGACTTGGAACTCCCAAACTCAATTTCACAATTTCAAACCCACACCAATGTGACTCAACTTTGTTGGCTTAATCTGCATTGTGCCATTTCAGGACCCTCAAAAGTTTGCACCAGTCTATGGCAACAGTAGCTTGATCAGCTTCAGTGTAAAGCTGTCAACTGTATAATTTTGGACAATCATCAAATTGTCATCAAACATTTTAAGTAGTCCAACACTCCACGGATGCTTGTGATTTTGATCATCAATTATGACGTAATGTCAATAGACCTGTGTGTGATGTCCAGAGTAGTAGGAATACATTATAGCCAGCTGTATCATTGGATAACATCTTTAGAAACAAAATAAGCTGTTGATGTGTGATTATATTTAATATAAATGTATCCTATATAAGCACACAAGCCTCGAGTTGCATTTATAAAAAAAAACAAATAATGCAATTCAAATCTTGCTACTTGTCTTGACCATGTTGGTAAGGGGGTCCCAATTAGATTCTTCAGCCCCAACTGTTAATAATACCTGAACAGATAAATACTAGATGCTGGTCAAAAAACTGAAAACAATAGTGACTCTAATCACAGCCAACTGATTCCCATGTTCAGTGCCGGATGATCAAAAGATTTAAAGCCAGGAGGACACATTTTGAGTCCATATCTCTCTGTATAATGAGAACCAGGATGCACAGACTTAAGGATGTGCGTGTGTTCATGTTCGCTTCGCACAACACAGAGTAGACGACAGTGAAAGCATAAGTGGCTTAGTGAGCACAAGAGCGAGTGGGAGCGGATCCATCATTAAGATACATGGAGAAGAGTTTCCAACCATCCCTTTCATTTGAGGCGCTTCATTAAGGCAGAGTCAACATGCATTAGTCATGGAGGACGCCGCTGTTCCAGGGATAATTAAGGGCTGAAGCAGCATTTGTGCCCACCCCACTGATGGAGCAGCATAACCTGCCACCAGAGCTAAAAAAATATGAATGGGAGATGATGATGCTTTGCTCCCACTCTATTTATTTTGTGTTTTAGTTGTTTTGTTTTTTTAGTGGCAGCATCATTTTGATTTTTCTTGCCAATGAGAAGAGAGTGTATGATTTTTCAGAGCACTCTGCTTTTTGTGTGGCCTCTCTGAACGCTTCCAGTTCGAAATCTTGCACTGGTTTTATCACTGTAGCTCCTTTTTAAAGGTTCAGTGTGTAGAATTAAGTGACATCTAGAGGTGAAGTTTCATGTTGCAGGTGGATACTCCTCATCTCACCCTCCCCTTCTCAGCATGAAGGAGAACCTGTGGTGAACTTTGATTGTCATGAAAACTCAAAAGGTTTTAGTTTGTCCAGTTTGGACAGTAAAAAAACATGGCAGCCTTTACAGAGAGGACCCACCTCCATGTAAATATAAAGTTTTAGATATAAAGAGCCAATTCTATGATAAAGAAAACAACAATTTATATAATTTAGATGCAACACAACAGTGAAAACATCACTAGGATTATTTTATAATCAATTTCTGCCAAAAATCCCTTTCACCTAAATCTTACACACTGGACCTTTAAGTTATCAATCCACCCTAGCACCCTATTAACAAATAATATGGAGAATAAGCTTTCTGGCTGTTTTTGTCTATACAGAGCTGTTTTGTCATGACCCTGAGTCAGTCAGTCTCTTTGTAATGCACAGCCAATAGCAGCATGTATGAAATCACACTTGTGCTTGTGTCAGAAATCTGACGTCTGAGGCGCCCAATGTATTTATCACCCAAAGTAATTCTTTAAGTGAGCCCTTACCTTTCTTGGCTGCTTGGTCTTGACAGTTTTCATAGGTGCAGGGTCCCCAGGCACTCCATGACGACACCTCACACTCTACTGGACAGCTAATATGGCAGAGCTGGGTGGTGTTCGGTGAGATGCCCAGACACAGATTGCTATCCACTGGTCGCAATGCTAAGGAGACACAGACAGAATCAATGGCAAAATGTTGGAATCATGATCTGATAAAAAACAAGGTAATTTTCATTAAAAATGGATCAGGATACAGTAAAGAGAAAAATAACTAAATGTTAAAGTCTGCAAAAGATTTCAACCACATGTTCAACTATTTATGTCATCTATAACCATGCAACATTCCTCCAACTTAAATGACCATATAGGTCCACTTACCCTTGTACATGACCCACAGGAGCAACCTGATTTCCCCTATTGCCCCCGCTGCAGAAGTCATCTAACAATAAATATAATAATAATAATAATGCTGTTGCAAAATATACATTTCTACCTTTTACATCAGTATTTTACATTCACTTCCAAAACTGTAATAGACTATTTATATCCTGTGTAGATATTACAGCATTTCATGTCCAGTCTTACAAACCACTTTGTAAAAAAAAAAGACAGAAATGTTGGTTCTTTAGAAGAGCCTCTCAGATCCAATATCCCCCCAGAAATAAATCCATTCAGTTAAAATCAAAGCCACATAAATGCTAAAGTTTTAGTCACATCACCCCCAAGTGCCCAAAACTTCCAAAACCTTCCAACCCTTTTTTTTTATTTTCCCAGCACAGCAGCAGAATACCATTTGGTCTCATTCTCTGCAGACCTCAGCTCCAAACCGCTATAGGTGACTCTCTTCAAGGTCGTCAGGCTGATGAATCATTCTCACTGTGCCACAGCAGCCTCATCCACATGCAAATTACCTTCGCTTGGCCAAAGGTGCGTCCTTTAATAGCGTCACTTAAGTGTGTGTGCACGTGGCATGCCCTTGAGCACCCATGTAACACAAGAGCAGATGATATATGTCATATAGTGTGACATGAAATAATCTATTGCCAACTTTTTATCAAAGATGTTTTTCTTAAATGGACTTTTAAGTTTATTTTTCTTCACAGTTGGTAAATGTGTGTTATGTTGAAAAAAAAGGAATTGGTTGATGTAATTGCTTTTGGGATTGGGAATTCAGTGGCACCAGGGAACTGTGGAATGCCGCATAACAAGAGCGCTAATATTTTGCTCGGGGAATTGCATAAAATTGGAAACTGGGAATTACACAAAATGAATTACATACCATCTCAAAGTTGTATCTATCAAATGGTACATTTACAGGTGACACTCTTGCTTAAACAAAATTGTGTTTTCCTTTTTTCTGCGGCAGCTTTCTGTGTGTGCCACAGCCATGAAAAAGGTGTTATGTGACTTGTTCTGGACATGCACATCTGCTGCTTTCAAATTATTGTGTTTGGGTATGCATCCATTGATTGTCGATATACGTAGCACTTTGTTATTAGCATTTTAGGAGTCTATTTTAAGAGCACCTTGCATAATGGAAAGACCCTCTGAAAAGACCTTAATAAGAAGATTGAGAAATACATTTGCACCTGTCCATCCCTGACAAATGTCCAACATTCTTAATTATGGGACTATACATTCATTTGCATTTTATACAATTACTCATGAATGCAAGCTATGCGGCCAGCTATGTGCAGCTGCACGAAGGTAAGTATTGTTTTGATCTAAATGCTGGTGTGAGCGTGCCTATATTTTTGTGCAGAATGAAGAGAGCAGTCTGGTCATCATCACCATTAGAAGTTGTGTTTAAGATGTTAGTCATCTTAGTTTTGGTTTTCATATTGAAGCAGAATCAGGCTGCCTTTGCACCCAACTTCAGAAAAGTATAATGCATTTAGTTCTAGTTGTATTTACTAGTTCACAAAGTATCTACTACTCTACAGCACATGCACAGACCTGAAGTGGAGCTATTTGGTCTGACAAAAGATATGTGGAAAGGTTTTCAAGGCCTTAGGGCATTTACCTACTTTGCAAGGTTACTTATTCTAGCTTTGCCCAGCTGATGTTATAATTCCATGGCAACCCATCTAATGCAATTTGTAACAATGATGAAAGTCAACATCGTGGGAACCATGGATTTCTGTACTAAATATAATGACTTGCTATCTAATTGTTGAGATACCTCAGACATGTTTTGAACATAAATAAATGGGCAATTCTGCTTTGTTTGGCCATGAGGTATCAGAAATGCTGAGTGGCATAAAATAAATACAATGTTCTAAGTAGCTATAACATAGCACTGGGAGGTATTAAACAGACAATTTGCAAATATGCCACAGCACTAATGGGTGCTGAAGCAAATGCCAAGTGTTAGCACGCTAACTAAAGAGTCTGACATTTCTTCTGATCATGTGGCTTCTCATATTTTGGAGGACAATAGCTTCTTTGTTCTCGCCCTGCCTCATACCATTTGAGCAGCTCTCCACAACCATAACAAAGGCTGATTAATGGAAATCTCCACACACATTGACCTTGCTCAGGTAACTCTGTTGCCAGATGGTCTAGCTTTCTCTGTGCTATTCCTCCAGCCACCAAATTAGGAACCTCCGAGGCCACAGCCCTGTGCCACCATGCCAAGTGCCATCAATAACGTTACTCCCAGTTCTGTTCCTACTTAGGATTCAAGACATCAAAGTGGCACAGCTGTTGTATTGCTTGTCACTGTTTGCTCCCTGAAGCGGTATAATGATCAGAGCCAGTAGAGAAAATTGTGGCAAACAGCTGATACAAGTTAAACTTATGCTAACAGTAACTGTTCACATTTTGTTGTCTCTGAAAGAAATAGAGAAACTGGCAGTAAAATATGTACCCAGGAAAATGCAAATCTTCTTATGATAAAAACCATTTGAGGATGTAGAATAATAAACAGTGATGGCGTGAGCAGTAATCTTTGCACAAGTGCAGGACTGAGTAAATATTTCATATTGTAAATAAATCTCATCAGGAACAAGCAGGAATATGGGGTGGTAGCAGCTTCTGGGAATAATGAGTGTTCAGAGACATTACTGCCACACTATCCTATCTCAGTCTGATCATCCTTGAAAGCAAAATGATAAAATTACATCAGGGTAATTCCTCCATTCATCACAATGAAATCAACCACTGCATGCTCTGATACGAGAACTAGAAAGTGATACAGTTGCTGTGGTCTTGATAAGAGCTTTCACACATGAAGAGACATTCAGAAGCAGAGTGCTGCTGCTGACACTGGCTGAAGATGTATTTCCTCTATTGACTTCATGTGCTCTCAAAGGCAAAGGCAGTGGTCATCCAACTGCTCTCATGTGCTTTCTTTCTCCAAGTAGTTGTCACTTTTTCCTCCTGTCTATCTTCTGGCAATTTTAGATTGATATATGTGCCATTACACCTTGTTCTTACTTATTAACATTTCTTAAAATACTATGGCAGTTCCATTGTTCTGATAATTTGTACCGTTATTTTGTAACCACACATCTCATAATCTAGCTTTCCACCAATGAGCAGTCAGGTTTCATGTTCAGAAAAAAAAGTGAGGCTCAACTTAAACAGTACAAAATCTCATATCCACAGCCCCTCAGTGACTTAGAGTAGCAAACAGTTCTTATTATATTTACAGCTAAATAAATACATACAATTTGAATAATTATCCATATACACAACCTTTTTTTGGATTTGAGAATAAATTAAATACAATAAATTAATTAATTAAATGATTCAAATAATTATAGTTGAACCTATAATCTCTGTCTATGTAGAATCATCCGATACAGTATTTAGTCTGGCAATGAGGCGCTCTCTTTTCACACTTTGCCACACGGATGGCTCTCAGATTCCATTCGTTAATATCATGATATTTCTATCTGGCATCAAAGATCTCACTTGTCATTTGCAAATTTTGGAAGAAAAATATATCCACCTGCCATCATTGGGCTCAAATCAACAAACACAGCAGTCTTCTGACTTCAGTGGTACAGCCTGAGACAAAAAAGTCAAATTAAACTGAGCGGGTCCCCATGGAGCGGACTAGCTTCAGTTGTACATTCATTTGTATGTAATTATTCACTCCTCCTTCTGTGGGCCTAAATCAAAGCACACTCGTCCTAGCTTCTTCTCCCTGACTTCACCTACATCTTAAAACATTATTGTTTCATGTTTTCTACATGAGCAGATGTTGAAGGGTATCCACGTTCCTTAGCAGATGATATCATTCACAAGAGCTGCACATCAAATACATTCTTCACGCACTTGGTTCTGTTCTACTGTAAAACACAGCAGTTGTATACACGATTATATCTTCTGGATTGTAGATAAATGATGGAAATAATCAAGTCTGAAATCATTGATGATATAAAAATGATTAGGTTCCAGGTAAATAAGAACAACCAGGTTATTTCCCCCTTATCTTGGTTTACTGCCACCTCAGAGTGGAATACTGGTGTTAACCACAGCAAATACAGATATATCTGCAGTGCTTTGCTCACCAAATACATCCTCTGCTGTGAGGGAATTAGGTGTAGCCAACACAGGAACCACTAAAAAAAAAGGGCAACAGGGAAATGTGGAAATGAATATGTGGGTTGGATAAAGACTCTCATTTACATCATCCAAGTTGAGGGGAAGCTAAAATTATACATGACATTAACACACAACAAAGACAGGGGGAGAAGAGGGAGGAGGTGTGATGCTGGGTAAAGCCTCTTCACACGTTCCAATTTTCTTTCTCCTCAGTTTTTCTCTGCCTGCTGCTGTCCTTTTGTTAGTCACACACCTGAAAGCCAAATCTGGTAACTGTCATAATACCTTCATTAACGTCCCCCTTCAAGCCAAAAAACACTCTCCATAACAATTACATGCTAACATGCAGGCAGGGGCAGCGTGGCTGGGGGTGCAGCCACTATTTCCTATCTCATCCTGACAATATGTAGCGGTATGGTGGAAATTGCAAGGTTTGCCGCAGAACTGGCAGTGTGCAGTCGTGATGCTGAAAGATGAAAGCACGTGGTCTGATCTGAATAATTTCTAGCAAACAGACGCCAGTTCAGCCTCCCCAAGCCAGACGGGCTGAGACTTATTGTGCCGGTGCCGATGTGCGCTCAGTAATGACACCAAATTTACATGAAAGCTCATATTTCATCTGCTATCATCTCTGTGTGGCTTATGCACATACGTTCACATTCATTTTCATATAGCTTAGTCCCAGATTTAATATCTAGAGGGAAACCACTTTAATTCTCATCTCTGCTTCACACATGGCTGATAGGGGGAGGACTCAGTGACTGTGTGCAGGGCTGGAACAGAAGTCATGACTTCAGTGTGTGTGTGTGTGTGAAGGAACCTCATGCCTAAAAGCTCATTTTGTCATCTCATAAGCAAGGGGATATATAAAAGTACAAAGTGTAATGAAAACAATAATTTCCCAATATGGGATCAATAAAGTACATCTATCTGTACATCCATCCATCTAAAACTAAACAGATAAAATAAAGAATAGAATAACAACGTTTAAACATTATAATAAAAATACTAGTCTATACAGGCGAGTTTTGAAAATCAGAGACACTCATTCTGCTGATCTGATGTTGAGAGTTTGTTCCACAGTGTAGAAGCTACATCCATAAAAGCATAAAAACCCTTTGTTTTAAGTTTGGATTGTGAGGCTGTTGATTCCCCAATCTCCAGGGTCTCAGAGCAGAGTAAGGGGTGAAATGTTTTGAAATATAAAGCCAGACTATGCAGTGAAGTGGCCAATACAATAACTAGCTGAATACTGCAGTGGATGGGGAGCCAGCTCAGCCCGGACTGAAGTGATGTGTTATTCACATGGAGTGACAAGTATCAGAACCTGTCGATCCTCATCATTGGCTTTGCTTAAAGTATTTACAGTCCCATAAAAATACTTATATACTACTACTTATATGTCTGCAATATGTCATGCAGTGGAATGCAATGCAATTATCTTCTTTTTCACTTCTTAGTCTTTGTGAATCTGTTGTGGTTGCACAATATTAGGAAAACATGCGATAACGTTGCTGAATGTTGCAATGACGATATAACTTGCAATAGATAAACAGATGCTTAAGTATCCAGTGGTAAGTCTTTCTGCTATGAGTTTGCTGCTAACATAGACCCCATACAGTGAGTAGCCTATGCAGACACTGAAAACAAAAGCATTACTTCCATTCCATGGTTTTATTTAAAAGATTCCACCTGGCTAAGGATGCAAGGACCATGGACAGCTCCAAAGCCCAAGGGAGAAGGCGCACAGCCCAGCCACAGCACCACCGGTCCATGGCAGACATCCACACAGCCATGCACAGTTCCATAAGTCAGCTCACAGTGATCATTTGGGGTCTTTCATACACATTTGGGCCGTAAAAAAGTTATGTTCTACAGTCTTTATTGGCTCTGTCAGTATGTTACTGCTTCTGGCTGTGTCTCTATCATTTGCACTGCGCACTGTGCCAACTGAATTGAGCCAAACCGAGCGCGCCGCCATCTCCTCCAGCTCCATACATTAAAGTTCTGTTGTTTTTACCCAGACTGAGTTTACACACGTATCCAATTACACTGTTTGTGTGTGTGTCAGTGTGTCAGCAGGAGAGAGAGAGAGAAAGCAAGTGGGATGGGCTGATGAATGCAAGCTGCTCTGGTGAAAGATTTAACTCATTTAAGAAAAGGATCAATCTATATGATGATCAGCGTTGATGTTGTGGGGTGTGTGTCGATGTGTGTGTCAGCATGAGAGACGAGCTGAGCACAGCTATGAGGAAAGATTTTACTCATCTAAGAAAAATATTGATCATGATGTGGTGATCAGTGTTGATCTTGTGGCTTCATTTCAAACAAATCAACGTTTAAACTGTCGTGAGGCAGAGATGTCAGCTGAGCCGGTGTCAAGTGTGTCTCTGTCTGTTTGCCAGTCAGTGCCACATGGAAGGGAGAGAGACGGAGGGACAGAGAGAGAGAGAGAACCTTTAAATTCAGGGACTATCATACAGACACTACGCATTTAGGTTATAGTAATCGACTGCTTATAATCACCAATTTGGCCTGGGACATACGTGATCCCCCACCCCCGCCTTATTTCAGCCAGGAAAAAACCTGCACATGATAATTATTCCGATCTTAACATAATATCCACCATCCACTCCATTGAGATAAATATATCTGTGTTAGTTCTGATGATGCGTTCTAATTTGACACCCTAAAGGCCAATAAATTGTTAGTTTGACAAAAACAACATTATTATTACTACCATTATTACAATTATTATGGATGTCAAGTTCTGTAAATTTGTCACAATTTCAGAGCAAACATATTGGTAATAGTAAACAATTTATTAACATTTAAATAGCTATTAATCAAAATGAATAGACCTTTTATCAAGCTAGTCACCATAGTTCTGATTCCGTTGTCCGATTCTTTAATCAGCAAGCATTAGAAACATGTACTTTACAAAGCCATTGTTTTTGATTAATTATTTGCTAATTATTACAGCAAATACTAAACTAATCAAACAGATCTCCAAATAATATTGGACAAAATAACTTGCTAATGTGTGACGAATGTATGCCTGTGTTTGTCAAAGAGACCTGGTGAACAAGGAACATATACACAGATGGCTTCAGTTTGTAGCCAAAGCAACACCATTTGGAGAATCTTTTTATCTGGCAAAGCAAAATGTGAGCCCTATAGCGTTAGTTGAGTATATCATTTAGATGTATCTCCCTCCTTAACGTGGCATATCTAAACTGTAAGAAATGCCAAACTGCTCAACCTCAGACCTCTGACGGCCTCCTCAGAATCTATCCGTGAAAATCACAAACAGATGCCGCAACACACCGGTGGACACTTATGGAGACATAGAAACATTTTGGTGTATGAACCTTTTTTCTTTCATGTGTTTTTAAACATAGAAATCAATGTATTTAATTAACACTGGTTTTAATATATATTATATGATGCTAAACACAGGCAGTGACATTTATATTTGGTTAATTACATCCAAAATGATGAAATGAATGTATCATCTCAAAAGTCTGTTTATATATAAAACCATAGTGAGTAGAGTAGTGGAGACGCTATGGAAGATAAGCTGCGAAAATGTACCTTCTTTGCTCCTGAGTGAGCTGAGGTTGGGTGGTGCATCAGTGCTGGTTTGGACACAGTAGACCTCCCGCGTCTGAATCCCGCCTCCACACAACCCTGTAAGGTTCACACGCCGACGGTCCTGTTGGCTGAGCAGCACATCCACCCTGCAATCCGTCCACTCTGTGGTCTTCCAGCTGTATCTGAGGCCAAAGGTGGAAACAAGAAGAGTTTGTATATAGTTTGTACTCCCCATACTATTATTATACTAGAATAGAGTAAAAATGGTCACATCTATTAATATATTTTCAAGTGTTGTGGATGAGAGAAAGACCAAAAGAGGAAGGGGAGGGAGATCTATCATCATGTGTTGAGTTGCTGCCACACAGACTATTGACTATTGGTATATTGGTGTGGTCCAAACACAATTCATATTGACCACAGGGGTATGTGAAGCTAATGCTGTCAGATATTAAGCTTCCTTTCCTGTGACTAATTCAATTTATAACTAAATCAATGGTTACATTTGGTATAATTGATGCTTCTCAGGATCCAAACATCTGTATACATTTCAGTGTTCATGTGCATCTGGTTTTACCATCAAAACCACTTTGAATTTTATAATTTAATTTCAATGTGATATGGTCTTAACACTGCAGATATTAACAGATCTTAACAGATGCATTTATATATATATATATATATATATATATACTGTATGTGTATGTGTGTTTATGGTGATCCGACAAAATTTCCTATTGAGACAATGAAAATGTCCCTAAATTTGAAAGAAATAAAGATGTTAAGAATTTTCTCTCACAAATTTATTTTATGGAATCAAAAGAACTTTTGCAAGTTCAACTTTTCTTGATAAAAAGCCATTTATCAATGGCTAATTGGTTAAACACTAAACTGGCTGTGGCTTAAGGGCTTCAGTTGGTCTTCCTCTAACCAGAAGGTCGGCGGTTTGATCCCAGTCTTACTCACTCCACTTACCAAAGTGTTCTTGGGGTTGATACTCAACCCCAAATTGCTAGAAAAGTGCTATAAGACTAGAAAAGCGCTATATAAATACAGATCATTTACCACCTGGTTTATTTTTATAACATGAAACGGAATGAGAAGTGTACACAGATTTACATATGGTGCATCAGGACATAAATTCAAATTGTGATTTTATTCCAAAAAGTGTGTTTGTTTGTGGCTCACAGTGCCGATGGCTTTTTGCGGGCACTGAATAGCATTGGTTGTGGCTGAGTGAATCGCAGTAGCAAACATTGTTAGATAGACTTTTTGTGTTGTTGACCTTAGATCTCTGTTTACACTGCACCTCAGGATTTGCAATTCATCCAGACTGTCCACTGAGTGCTCTCCAAGACTCAATTTTAAAGCAGAAAGGAGGTTGTTAATTGCATCGGCTATTCATACATGGGGTTTATGTGTGTGGTTACTGAAATGGCAGCAGTCTGCTTCAGCAATAAACCATTGCAGTTTCTACCCTGAGGTCAGAAACTGTAACCCCCTGCCTCCATCTCAACTGATAATGGAATTCATTTGAGGTCGCCAATGAAAGGCTCCATATTCATGAGCGAGGTCTCTGTGTGTCTCTCAGAACTGCTGCGGGACAATGAGGCCCCTGGGAAAGCATTGCATCTTGGTGCTTTAAGTTGCACAGATGGGGTCACTCAGACAGAGCAGGTCTTCAGCAGTATGGACAGAAGTGCTGCTTCTCTTTCTGCTGTCAAAGAGAAGACAGCAGGAGTTGACGGACATTGATTTCCTGTTATAAATGGGTTATAGAGTTGAAGTGAAACCAGAACTTATAGATTCTGTTCCAGGGGTCAGAAAACCTCATTCAAATTGGCATTGATGTTTATTTATGCCAAACAAATGTGTTACACATATTCTTACTCTGTGGTTTGTCATGCAGGTTACTCCACTTTCAATATTTTAATGTAACAATTTATTGATCCTTATTTAGAGGTCTTGGCCTTTTACAAACACCATCTGTTACTCGTCAACATCACTAGAAGTAGTATTGTAATGGAGAGCTTAAATTCTAGGCACTGTTAGCCCAACGACATTTTTTAGAAAATAGTCACAATAACTTCATTTACATACAACAAACATTCTATCATTTGCCCTTATTCTGAACAAAATGATTGCCCAATAAAATGAATATTTAAATTAATATCCCACCAATATTCCCATTAACATATGTTACTGTATATTGTTATGTATTCATCTTCTTTCATAATGTTGAATAATCCAGAAATATGGGATTCTCTTTAGCTAATGGATGTTTTTCTAGACCAGCCTTGGAAACGGTCTTCTTGCATGGTGGATAATGCACAGAAAGTCAAAGCAAAGAGACCTTGTTTCGTAAACTGCCATATGTCCAAAGAATGTTCATACCACATGTTTTAATCAGAAACGGTTTAATTTGGAATAAGGTCAAATCCATAACATCCAAACTAGGCTGTTAAGAAGTCAAATTCAGAATATTGTCACATAAAATAACTGTGGCATGTCGGTGTGCATGTAAACATGTTGAGTCAGTTGGCCTGGAAATATATGTAGCATCAGGGCTTTGTCTTTCTTCATAAACCATCATTGCAGTACAAATGATCAAAGCCCAATTTAACAACTTTACCTCTGGAAATGATCACATCATTTCATCCACTTTTCACAGCTAATGAACCTGACCTGAGGAGGAACTTAAAGGGTAATTGGCGGATGTGTCAGGATGGGACACCTCGTGGAGTAAGAGACAAAAGCCAGACATGGCAGCGGCTTCCTCTCAGACAATCCATTTGTCTAATCCTGCTGGCACAGAGCCAGACACAAACCACTGCACAGTTTACCCAACAATAGGTATCCTCAAAGACAGCTTTGTATATAGTTCAAGTTACTTGCTAATATAACCACTAATATCCCGAATAAAATGTAAGTGACATCATCTGCTTTAAAGCTAGGCTCTCTGGTAATGTCATGCTATGACAAGTAAGATGACATGAAATAAGAAAAAGATAGAAAGCTCAATGGTCCATACCAACTGTGATACAAATTATTAAAGTCAATACAAAGTCTAGAATAAGCATAACATTCAATCTCTTGTGCCAGGCGATGTAAATACTAACAAAAACTCACATCTATCACCAGAGTAAAAAAATGTGTGTGTGTGAAGCGATGTCACAAAAGCCAATTTGCATCAAGAATGAAACTCATTGTACTCAGGTCCAGGCACCAACCCAAGCTAGCAGGTCATCAAACTGACCAATGGTCAGGCTCAGGTTCTATTGGTCATCCAGACTAAGCTCCTGCAGAAGACTGTGAAATTCCCTGAACTATGTGCTCATCTGGATGTTCTTGTGAATCCACACATAACGCTGCTGGCTTCTCCGACATTTCCACAGAAGGTACAACGCAGCAACTCATCGATACGCGATATACAAAAAATGTGGTTTGTGTTCGGTGTGAATTCACAATAAAAGAGTAGTCAAGCTAATAGCTCTGTGAGGCTGCGCTAAATACAAGCAATGCAATCATGTCAGCATTGCTCATAATGACAAGCTGAGTGTTTCACCTGGAGGACTGTTTCCGTTAGAAGCAGAGTGATATAATGCCGTTCATATGCATAAGTTTGAAAATCATTGAAGATGCATTCTAAAGACTCTTCAGTTAATGGGAAGATTGTTCACACAGTGGCCAATTTCTTTCAGGACAAATTTATAGCATCACAAACTCAAATTTGTCTAATTTAATTTAACTGATAAAAGGGAAATGTTAATGTAAATAGGTAACATGGCAGACATGATGATCATCTTTTAGAGGTGCAAAACAAATTCAGTGCAGAATACCTAAGCCTCCCATCTCCGATCTGAATACTCCCAGCCAACACAGCAGCATGTATCCATGTCTGAGTTCATGTTGAGTTACACTGTTCAATAAATCAGTAATATTTATTCATATCACCACAAGCACTTGTCCTTTAATTATATTCCTTTCTCTATTCTTGTCCTGTACTTACACAATGCAGGGTGGCACTTCATCTCCCTGGGGGCTGCAGGGCTCCTTCTCCTCAAGCTCCGGGCAATCTCCTCCTCCACCAATTGGGAACTGGCTCACTTTTCGGGTACGAGTACGTTCGCCCTTGGTGCCGTTGGGGTCATAGCACTTCTTGGAGCACGCTGACCACTCTGACCATTCAGTAACATCGCAGTCTTTGGTCATGACGCAGGCCTGGAAGTTCACTGGTAATGTCTCCTGAGAGCACAGGCTGTACATGATGAAAACAAAGATACCATTAGTCAAGATGGAACTACAGCTGCTGTTGGTTCTACAACAATTTTGTAATTTTGCATGAAGTATTTGACTTGTAACAGTCTCCGAGTTCATTTAACTAAATTATGTGATTTAACTCATTGTAAGTGCCATTGGAACAAATGTGTCGGAAAAAACTAACTGTGCCATGCCCATTTAGGTATTGCAAATTGTTCAACTGTTAAAAATATGGTTAGTACTTTGCTATCTTGCTACATTATTTTTCATTGAATAAATAATGGCATGAAAAAGCTTAATTAAAAAACAGACAATACATAATAAAGATAGTTTAAATAGGAAGAAGTAGATGCAACAGTAGATAATGAATGAACAACCCACAAACATAATGCCCCTGGTCACTGGCTGACGCAGAGGCATAGAAAGGAGAGGGAGACAGAGAGATACATTTGTCAAGTTGTGAAAAAACATCCCTCTACATTTTCAGAGTAGATCATTAAGACAACTGTTGTGGAGGGATTACACACAGGCTAGTGAAATGCAACTGTAGGTTCTTCAGCTTTTCTTTCTCTGACTCAGCCAATGTGATAAATGTGGTTTCAAAGTTGTTCGTTAAAAAACCCAAACAATTTGTTATCTGTTTCAGCAGCAGCTTCGCAGCAGCAAGGCTTTGTTTGATGATGGGATTTAGTTCGGAGTTGTAAGACTGTTTTTTTTTTCCTTGTGTTTTGCAGAAGCTCACTGGCCTACGGGATAAAGACACACTGCATCTCTTTTCTGCTTCTTCTCCCCTTTTAGTCTCACCAGTTCAATTTTTTCTCAGTTTTCCTAAACTTCTGCAGGCTTTCTGAAAATGTGAGGACACATAAACTGTTTGCTCTTTCAGGTCTTTTTCTCTTTCTTGGTTTTTTGTGTTTTGTTTGAGTATTTTTTTCCAATCAGAGTTCTCCTGCATTCATTGAGTTTTTTTTCTCTCTGTAACATCCTGCTATGATAAAGCTAGAGCAGTGGTACAAGATGTAACAGTTTGTACTTTGATGCAACTTTGACTTTGCTTTTCTCCAACTCTAACGGCTGCAGTAGTCATTCCCATTCTGTTATTATAATGAGAAAAACCGAGCCAACACAAAAGGAAATTGTGGAATTGAAAGTCAAAGACAACCTCACATTTCCATCCTGTTGTAGTGGCTCATATAGAGGCAACAATAGTTTTTTAAATCCCACAATGGGAAAACATTATACTTAACTTTTCCTGAAGACTCAAGAAATTACTGGCAAAGAAGACCTTATGTCCTGTCCTTATGTGGAAAACAAAAACAAACAACAGTTTCTTCGAGAACTTACTTCCACACAAGGACAATCACTGCATGAAGTGGGCATAGTTGTTGCTTAAAGAAAGTTCCAAAATTATTTGTTCTTATTTGGAATTGTTCTATAGGGACAATGTGTAACTAGATACCAAGTGTAATGTAGCCACCAAAAGCTCCAGAGTAACTGTGTTGGTTTGTTGGGATTGGATTGATCAGTTTATTTGGTGTGTATGGTTTCAGAAAACATTCCTAACCTTTAAAATATTTGTCTATTATATTCTTATTCACTGCCATCTCTCCATGCCTAACATACCTTCAGAAGTCTCTGCAGAGATGGGAGAACCTGCTATCGTTGAGTCAAAGTTCTTACATGCAGCCTTGTACAAGGCTTAAGACTGAGGCAATAGTTCACCTTTCAGTTAAGACCAACACTGGAGTATCCTCAGGACAACCCCAGAGAACATCTGTGAGAGATGGCAGTTCACTGTCACTTTCCATTCAATCTGATGGATCTTGAGAGGATGTGCCAGGTTTTACCATGTCCAAGTGGGCAAATATTGTAGAGAGCTTGCTAAGAGGGGGCAGTAAAATTAATTAAAATTTCATTTTAAATTTAAAGTGTCCAAAGAGTGAAGGGGTCTGAATACTCTCTGAAGCCCATGGCCCATGGTTTGCAATATGGCCTCCTAGCAATTATGTTCTTTCTGTTAATGGTTCATGCATTGCCATAACAATACCACCTCTGTCTTTGCTTCTTACATGGTCAAAATACATCAGTGTCGAAGTTGGTGGACAAAGATCATTGTAAACATCATAGTAAACATCTGAAGCAGTTTGATTAACTTCTTGCTTTTCAGGATCTTTTTACTCCACTATTGTCAAGAGACTGTGAACACAACAAAAACTCAAACCCTTTCTCCAACAAAAAACTCCAATTTTTTCTCCAACATAAAAGTTATTGTACTTTCATAATGATGCATGTATTTTACTTCCTTTTACAAAATATCAATTTAGTGTAGAAAAAAAACATTCCTTTTAAAGAGATTGCAAATTTCTTAGGGGGAATTTGCAGTTCATCACAATATGTAAGCCTGGACACATTGTGGCAATTTTAGCCACCAAATAAAATTAGAATTGGTGTCTCCAACTGTTAATGAATTGTTTTGGGGCTTTGGCAAACATTAATATGGCCATCACTATCAAGTGTTGTCCCTTTGAAGCTTTCAGCCATCTCTGTATTCAGAGTGTGGCTAGAACTGAGTGGAAATATTTGCCTCTCTTGTGGGTATTAATCTGTGTGAATCAAGCAAATATTATTACCATGCTTGACAACATAATATGATGAGTGGTACTTGTTTGAAGTTTAAGTGATGTATGATTTCTGACATTCTCCCTTGCATTAAAAGCAAAGGCATACCACAGGGGGCTTGATATTCTCAGGAAGTAATGGACCTTGCTCAGTGGCCTCTATTAGAGTAGCACAAGAACAGACAGACAGAATGAGGCCATTCATCCCTACAAAGAGCATAGCTCTCAGACACCTCATGGACATTGACCTCACTGGATAAGAGACTGTACATCTTTGGATGGACCTTACAGTTAAGCTTTGATTAATGCATCCATTGCTGGGAGAAGCTTTATGTATACTGGTGAAGTGGAATGGGCAAAATGATGTAGAACACTCACTAATTGACACTGACAGCAATTTTCTTCGCAACCTTTGGCATTTATTACTGTGGCCCTTACAGTAGCAGTCCACTAATTAAACTTGAGCCTTCATGTGAGATTTTGGATGATCTCATTTTGCAGGGATAAAACTGATGGCTCGCATGCTTTAACAAAACACAGCAGATGTCTGAGGGTTATGAGCCTTGACACTTGAAACCAGTGAGCGCTAAAGACAATGTATTCAACAGTAACATGCAATGTTCTGACAATGACCCACAAACATTTGTTTATCAAAGAATAAGATTTTTTGACTTAAATGTTTAATGGAATGTTTTTTTATAATTTGTGCCTAGGTTTTTAAGATAACTTCTCCCTATAATATTTGTAAAATACCAGCCCAAGATTTGGTTTTGGGCTGGGGCTTGTAGCATAACATTAAAACAGTGTCTAGTTTAGTACTGACAAGAGATGTCAAGAGAGAGAGCGATGAGGAAAAAAAGGTCCCCAGCCAAAGTTGGGCTTTGGATATTGCTTTGGCCAGTGCCTTGAATCCCTATACAATCAAGACATCCTGGAATGGTTAAGGTTAGGACACATTTGTGGCTATGGCACATAAGCTGTGGTTAAGCTTTTTATGGATTGGCGACCAATAACATTTGGTTAAGATTCATGAAAGACGTTTATTTTTAGTATCATTTGCATGTCTGTAACAGTGTGCTTGTTCCAGTCTATCAAAAGGTCCACTTTTGATTTTTTCACTCATTCTTACCTCAGAGCTTCAACATCCCCACTCTTGTGGACACACGACACCTCTCGGGTCTGGTAGCCAACCTGCAGGTCCCAAAACTTTGCTCCTGGGCGGTTTTGACGGTTCTTGTTCCTCTTCTTCTTGATGAGTTCTCGCGTCTCAGGATCCTTTGACTTGCCCCTCTCCCTTAACCTCTCTCTGACTTTCTCTCTCATTTTCTCTCTTTTCTCCTTGTTTTTAGCCTTTTTCTGTCGTTTGGGCCTGTCTGCCTGTCGGGAAGGCCTGTCAGGTTTCCTGTTTGCTCTACTCAGTTTTCTGTTTGGTCTGGATGGTTTTTCACCATCTTTTGGCACTTTATCACCATCTTTGGACGATTTGTCTCCTTTGTGTTGTTTGTCACCCTCTCTGCTCTGCTTGTCCTCTCCTTTTGACTGTTTGTCAGTGTCACCAGACTGTAGGACACCCTCCCTGGACTGCTTGTCTCCCCCTCTGGATGGTTTTTCACTCCCTCTGGCCTTTTTGTCTCCTTTTTTGTCTCCCTCAAGTTTATCGGTTTCTCTGGATGGTTTGTCACTATCTCTGGGTAGTCCGGTGGCTTGTCTTGCTTGCCTTGGCAGTGGAACAGAGCAGGGCCCCCAAGGTCCCACCCTGAGACTATAGAGGCTCTCCTCCCCCTCACAGACCCCTGGCTGGCATGTCTGAAATTCAGTCAGGTTTGGGCAAGCTGCCCCGCCAAACAGTGGTGGAGCTAGAATAAAGCGGATCCGGTTCTGTAAGCCCATTCCACAGGTTTTTGAACAGAAAGTCCACGGGCTGAACTCAGACACCACACAGTCCCGAGGACAGGGTATTAAACAGGCCTGCTCTAGTCGTGGTTTAGGCTCAAAGTATTCACAGATTGCATCCTCTGCAGGCTCAGCATTCACTTTCTGGACACAGCCCACCTCACGGGTCTGGATGCCCTCCTCTCCTCGTGTGCACACAGCAGGACGCTGAACCCCAGCACTGCGCATGGACACTGGGACACACTGGTTCCAGGCACCCAGCTGCCAGTCGTACAAATCTTTGTGCCAGTCGCACACTCTGAAGCAGCTCTGCTGGTTGTCTGGCCGTTCTGTCTGATCACAGTTGGTGTGAAGAGTGGTCCAGCCTTCAGAATGGGCACACCATACCGCCCTGCTCTGGCTTCCTCCAGGACCACACTCGCTGCCCATACAGCGGCCCCATGGACCTGTAAACAGGAAGACAAGTTATAGCATTGGTCTCACTCTTACTACTGTTTATTAGACTGTAGCCATACGTTTAACTGAGAACTGCATCAGCAGAACCATTAACATTAATCTCAAAATGCAAAAAAGGCAAGAACGCCCTGACAATCAGGGATGTTCTACATCTACACTGAGACCCAAGTCATAAGTGGTACATACACAGCTCCCAGAGTGAATGAGACAGTGTCAACTGTATGAATGGAAAACCATGATCATTATAAACTAGAATTGGACACTGAACTTGAAAACTCACGCTTTTCATCAGAAATTCCATCAATAGGAGATACGTAATTTTATCAAATGTTTAACTTTCATGGTTAGCCTTAAATGAACCATTTCATTGAAAACCATTTATTCTCTGTCATTAAGAAAAGATAAGATAATCTTTTATTAGTCCCACAAGGGTGAAATTACCCACTGATGGCAAAAAAGCCCATGAAAACAAAATGTTTTATTCCACCCAAAAGCACAAATTTACATTTCTTAAGTGCTTTCAAAGAAACGACTGCCTTTCTGCATCGAGCATTTGATACTTAAGTGCTTCCAAGTGCAATAATGATGTCCTGAGAAATACACACTGCTAAATCACTCTCTGTCAATAGTGATTGCACTTCCACTGGATTTATGAGAATGCAATTAAAGGTCTAAGTAAACACTGACATTCAGCACAAAGCCCCTATTAGCAGATGCAGAGTCAGAGCAGCCTAAGACTCAATCAGTACAGGAGCAACATAAAAATGTTCTAACATGTGGAAGGGTGCACAGATGAAAATCCATGTATGGTGTTACAATACAGGGAACCTGTATCCAGACATAGTAAATTACTGATTTTAACCACCAATTCTGTGTAACCAATGCCAGTGTATGTTTTTTGTGAACAGACATAGAAAAGATACAGACGATAGCAGAAGGGATTCTTTTGTGATACAGCCTCCTCTGTTTACTTGTGAATAAATACACTGTGGTATCTACATAGCGGGTTTTATGATTACAATTAAGCAGAGCTTTTTTATACTAGCACTAATAAACAAATGATCACTTGGCATTATTCACTCTCTAAAGAATAAAGCACACCTAAAGCAACTGATGAAAATTTGAAACAATGTCTCATCCTCCCCCACATTGTTATTTTGATGTTGAGCTTACTGGGAAATTCTGAAAAAGAACAAAACAGTGAGAAATAAAGTAAAACACAACATAAAAGCAAAAGCCATGTTTTCTGAATACACAAGCAGACAACAGATTCCATATCATCCCCTCAGTCATTCAGGGCCTTCCTGTGTCAGACAGATGGAGTTGCTGTTTGTGAGGGAAACCCTGGCTGATCAATTGCCTCTCTATCACAGGGCAGAAATTGATCCTTTGTTATCAGCAGCAACAGAGTCCAACAGGGAAAACAACGGGGGTTCTGGTGACCTGACTCCAGGGTTTTACTCTTATATTTGACTGAGGAGAGTGAGAGCTGATGCCAAAACAGTTACTGCTGGCAGAGAATATCACTGGATCACCCAAAAATTGGCCAAAACAAGAAAACTGACAAATGAAAAATGGAACATTTAAATTAGGCTTGTGTACCTCCATACTACAAATGTTACATTGGTTTACATTTACATCTTCTCATTTAGGATACATCTTTATCTCAAGCAATGTACCATAGGGGACAACATTAAAGCCTGAATCTATTCAACAAGACAAACTGAGGGGAATCAGTTAAAGAGGTGAAATGAAATAAGTGCTTGTGGCTTGTTAGGCTGTTCGAAGCGTTTGGAGAGGAGGTGCTTTCAGAGAAGAAGTCATTCAGGGTAGAGTGGTACGTACCCCTGCTCAGTTTCAATTCATGAATATGTTGAACATGACTGCAACAGATTTAAAATATATTTTATCAAATTGCTGTTAAGACATTTCTCTGAACCAAAAATGTCAACCTGTCTGTAGCACTAGACAAAATCTAATCAAAGTCAACATGTCACAACCTATGGGAGGCACGAATGCTTTGAAGTAGAAGACGTCGACATAATTAATTGAAGATGAGAAAACTTGCACAGTCTAAAGGCATCCATTAAAAGCAACCACTTTCACCAAAAAACAAAACTGCAATGCACATTTGATCAAATTGAAAGTAATTTGCACAAGCTCTAACTGTCTACTAGGTAATGAGTCAGGCTCTATTAACCACTGCTTTATAGTTTCACTCAATAGAGCTGAGCTACGATACAATGAAAATGTCAACAGAAAAACCAAATGAAATTAGCATACAGCTGTAGGAGGAGGGTCTGGATCAATACAGATCAATAGTAGAAGCAACCTAAACCCAAATCTGTAGTCACAGAAGGGACATGTCTCACACAGCTCCCATTATCCTGAAATAATAGGAAAATACAGTTCCCAGGGACTTTCCTTCCCGAAAATTAGGCGGGGGTGGTACTGAGCCATCAGACCGGGAATTGGGGGGGTACCAGGCACAAGATACCCAGGTAGCCACCACTTACAGTGTTCATTTTGGGTCCTCCTCTCTGTGTCTCTCACATTTGTGCACTGTCAACCAAATTAAGCCAAACTGATCACGCCCCCGCCATCTCCTCCGGCTCTCCATACATTGTCCAAGTTTACAAATGGTGTTGTTTTTACCCAGTCTGAGTTTGCAGACGTGAGCAGCAGAGTCAGTGCGTGTGCCGCCCACTACCATACAGAAGCTACACAATTCGGCTATAGTATTCAGTGCTTGTAGTGAAACCTAATCACTGTACTAGAATGTTCTCGGGAGGAGGAGGTGTCAGGAAATGTGTCGAAGGGGGCCGCCTCGCAATTCTCTTTGCAGGAAAAACCCTGGTGCCGATTTAATGCAGCATATAATGTAGACTCAGCGTGTTAGAGTGGAGCATGATGCCAGGGAGGAGTTAGTGATAAAAAAATAATGTTAAATTGATTTTGTAATCAAGAATATAGACAGAGTGGCTACATGCAAGGCTAAGTAGCCATCTGGGCTCTGGGTTTTCATCCATATCCTGCTCTCTTAAGAGGCCAGCATGTTTATAGCCATAAAAGATTAGCTCCCTGGCAGGCAGCATTGTGTAAGCTCCATGCAGGTGTTCACCATAATTTATGAACATGCCACTGAATGACACAGTTATCTGTGGGCCGATGGTGAGCGAGCGCAAGAACGAAAGGTTGTTGGTGGTGGGGGGTACTCACGCTGGCCTACATCACCTACTATCACCCACTGAGAGGAGCCAAGCGGCACAGAGGGGCAGTGTGCCAACAAGGGTAAAGCTCCAGGAGGCTTGACACACATCTAATCACACACATCCTATCTCATACTACAACCTCCCATCACTAATGTCACCGTTCTACCAAGGGAGACAGAGAAATTATGAACAGCTGGGTTTTTACTATTACAACACTCCAGGTAATTCTATTGTTGGAATTCATTTTGGGAATCTTAACCACTGTTTGCTCTTTAAAAAACAATGACATGACATCAGAATCATTTATTTGCCATGTATAAATACACATACTAGGAATTTGACTCTGGTTTAGTTGCGTTCAGTGTACTTACACAAATAGACACACAATTAACAACAGATTACCAGAAGTAGCAAAATTAACATGATCACTTTGTGCAATAGAGATAAACTGTACAAGACTCTACAAGACGGTCACTAGTGACTGTTGTAACTAAAACTATTTGCTTTGCTGTGCTCATCCCAAGGTGTGAGCCAAATTAATTATGTAAAACAATAAAAATGACCTGGTTCCATTCAGTATTCCTGCAATTCCACGGCAATACGTAGTGTGGCTGTGCTTTCGGGGGAGATACATAGAACAGGGCCAACAGTAAGATGAATTGAGATTTGCTAAAAAAAACTGAATGAGAGGGAATATTTGAAATGTCAATATACAGTGAGGGACAGAGCTGATTTGACCAGAGGGAAGAAAAGAGAAGAGAGAACGAGATGTGCCTGAGCCTGACCAGTAATTGGCCATGTAGCCACACTCCACTGGTCCTATGATCCTCAGCCCCAAGGCTCGGCCGTGAGCATCGATCACTAGATTTATTTCTCTCCTCCCTACATCAGCACCCCTGACATCGTAGTGGCCTCTGCTGAGACCACTGGTACATGTGCAGTACACTGTGCACTGCACACAGGCCACTGGCACACTCACAGCAGTGCACTTTTCTGTTGCTGTCCCTCAGATTAAACAATTGACCCTTTCCTAAACTCCGTCACCTTTTCCATTCTGGCAGCGTACGTATGCAGCGAAAGACAGGGATGGCGGGTTTAACACATCAGCCAGGCAAATCATTCACATTAAATGAAGAGTCAGAGCAGTACAGAAAATAAGACATGTATTTATATCCTTTCAAGCAACATAGAGCACAGCCCACGCACACTACGATATCTGTAAGCTCCACTCTGAACCCGCATCCAAGAGTCAAACCTTTATACATCAGCCATCTCCCATTGGAACTGATTAAGCAAGGCCAGATGTTCCTACCCGGAATACTCACCAACCAAACAATTCCCAAACATGGATTCATTTCAACACACTCTGTGGTGAGGTGGCCCGACAAGATAAACCAGCCAAGGAAATGTCCCAGCATTCCCTGCCCTCATCATGACACATAGGAGACGTGGAAATGAAAGAAGATCATTACATTTCTCAACAAATTGTTGAAGGAAGAGTACTCAGTGTTGTTTGCCAACCTTAATACTATTATAAGTGTGTGTAACTGCAATGCTATATATAGGACTGTACAGAGCCACAAGTATATTTGTCTAGAATCAGCAGTTAAATCTGCAAAAGGTTTCCTGTTCGATTATCTATTGCATGTCATACAACTGCCATCTTTGATTCAGGATTCTTTATAGTCTGTGTTTGGTTCTAAATTAAAACAAAGTCATAATCTGAACCTCTCTGGTAATATAGCTGCAGTTTACCCTGCTACAGCATGAGGAGAAAT